CTGAACAGATATACCTTGCTAGTTTTTTAGTCAGCATTCAATATTCTTTCAAATCGCAAGGTCACCGTTGTATATCGATAAAAAAGCGAAACATCAAAATACTGATTAGTACACTGTATTCAACCAACCTGTGTATCAACCAACTTTCATTTGAAACAGGTTTTTAAACAAGCAGTTTATGAAGAAATTTATGCAGAACAGTTAAGTGAGTCACTCTGTATTCAATGCCCGAAACAAATACAAATCGATTGGTGCTGTTTTGTAAACTATCCGTGGCACTTTGGTCAGATCGCGCCAATGGAATTGAAAAAGTTTGATGGACTAGAAAGCAGCGCGCACTGACGTGAAAACTCGCTGTTTGCGAAGTGTCTGGACACGCTCGATTCGTTCTTTGCCGATGGAACTGGGAATTAAAAAATTATTGATTTACAGCATGGTGCGTGATGAATCAAAGTTTCACTGGAACGTGACACCGATCTATTCTTCGAACATTTGTAAACACCAGGAACAGAGTAATTTACCTGGATAACTGTCGCCATGCGATTCCTCTCGGTGACACATAAAAAAGGGGAATCATCAGCTTTCTCTTTATCGCAAAACGTTCGCGCCCTATAAGGCGCTGAGGATGATTCGACACAAGGTAAGAATACACGAACGAAGGGGAAGAAATAAAGATGGGGTAAACTGCTCGTACGGTACGGTTTAGATAAGGAAGAACTGGAAAATATATGTATACGATGGGCAACGGGGAAGAAAGACCAGCGAAGCCGCGAGAGATGAGACGAACCGGAGACACGGAGGAGGACAGGAATGGTCTATTCTCGGTAGCTATTTGCTAAATACGCTGTTCAATTATTCATGTGTCAACGCTGGCACTGGTTCTCCCGCTCTCCGCGCACGTTTGCGGTTTATCGCTGGCCGCCTACCAATCTGGTTATATCCAGGTGGAATACCCCCAGTTGTTGGGATATTCAAGATTTTCTTCCACTGAAGTCCTCCGGATTCTGTACCATTTTTACCCTCATCCTAGAGTCAAAAAGGGCCAACTACGTTTCCGTTGCTCGCCGAAATTACACGTTATTCCCATGAAACGTGTACTCTCTCCTGTTGCGTCTATACCTAACCCAGACCTACTCTATGTATTACACACAGGATGTCCATTATACGCTCGTTGACGTATGGGAACGTTGATACATCGATTTCCGATCACGATGCGGGGAATTTTTATAACACTGATCTAGCGGCGTGCCTGTGATTCATGGACGAAATAGGTACCTGCAATATTATTGGTTTATTGGGTCGAGTCGAGGTACGCGGATGAATATTTTCTCTATGGTATCGGATTTATGTTGTACGGGACTTATAAATGTACGTGAAATCGTGAAGATCGTAGCCTTCGTGGAAATTCATCGAGTATTTGTAAACCTGAACTACGAAAGTTCAATTTCTTTGGAATTTTTCTCGCAGTATTGGATATTTACAGGGATGCTTATATACCCTTACAAATTGACAATGTATACATGTAGGTACTGAATGGGCACTGTATAAAGCATGTATACAATCTAGTCTTTGTATAGTTGTTTGTTCCGTCGACAAATTCTGGGTTTCGCGACGTTTCTATCTGATTCAAAGTTTCGAGTTCCATTCAGAACGCCATTAATGTAACAGCCGGGCCTTCGGTATTGTCTTCTCGCTTATAGGAATGAATAATGGACCTTCCATTATACAATCCCATTTACACTCACTCCCGATTTTATCAATCTCTACAAATAAAATGTTTTATCACGCATGCACTGTCCCCGGTTCTATTCCACCCATCGAATACCTCATTAAATGTACCAGAATTGCGTCACGTTCCGAGTAGAGTATCATCGAAGCGTTCTACATTTTCTCTCGTAATCCCGGAAACTCCATCCGTTCCTCGTGATACGGAAAAAAACGATTTCGCTATACAAACGGAACGGTGTACATTGTTGTCGGATATCATTCGTCACAGGCACGGAAACTGTATCTAATGAACAAAAGCTATTATACTGCTGTTATTGATTCACTATTTCGCTTTATGTTTAGCTAAAAAATCGTCACAAAGATCCAACAGTATTTATCGTGAAAATAAGTAGTGGAGTTATCCATTTCAATAAACAGGCAATTCAGAAAATCTCTTTTCTTGTTCCATCCTATAATTATTCGAAATATTTCGTTAATTCGTGATCTACAGTTTCTACCAATATAGTACCGTCAGTTGGGGTCTTAACTTTGACAAATTGTCAGTCAGGGTAACTTTGTCCCAAAGTCAGAAAATGAATTCACTTCCTGATACAACGAGATACTTCTATTCTGCAAAATCCTTCCACACATTTTACTTCCTACTAACATTTGAATCCTATCCGCACCCTCTTCCGTCAAAATCACCGCCTTTAATCGCAAAAATGAAGCTATCATTGCAACGCGAAATCCTCGCACACGTCATTCATAAATCCACGCGAGTCTCAACGTAATTGTTTTTTTTTTCCATGTCGGGAAAGCTAGACACCAGTATCGATCCGATCCCACGAGCCTGGCGCGTGCAACCCTTGGCTGGAAAACAGTAAACATCGTATGCAATCGTAAACAACATATGGATACCGCCTCTTGCATCGACGGCTGTGGCGATCGTTTCTTCGTTCTGCGTGGCGAGTGCAAATAACTGCCGATTTATATTCGCCGATTGCGTTCCGTGCTTTTTGCATGCTGCATCCCCTCTGTCTCTTCTCTGAACGAGATTCCCAGTTCGAAACTTCTTCGCGACTTCCCACTTCGAGCGAGTTAGCGCGGATAGTTTCTTGTTTATGTGTTGGAAAGCAATTAAGAAGATTGGAATTGGCGAAGAACCGTAGGTTTCGAGCCGACTCGGGTGTTCAGAAAACCGCGAGAATGATAAATCATCGTAGGCGAAGAATCTGGGAGCTTCGACTTGCGAGATATCTTGCTTGAATAATGGCGCTTGGTGTGGAAGATTCTGTTTGGTTTCCATTGCACGAAGAATTAAATTTCCGACCTGAACCAGTAACTGTTTCTTGAAAGGTTCACTTGGGTCGAATAGACCTGGGGTGTTCTGCAATATGCAAATTGGGAATACAGCACTGATTAAAGTACTGTAACTAAAGTGGATATTATAAAAGAGATGCGTTGGTAGAATATTAAAAGTACCATGTTTTAATTCTAGCTACTATTTTCTTTGTAGAAAATCATCTACCACCCGAGAAAGCTGCGTGATTGGATCAGCTAACAAGTAAATGGAAACTGCAAATTTACGTTGATTATAAAATGTGGAATCTGAAGAAAATGTAGAATTGAAGTTATTTAGGATCGAACCGAATATTACGTTCCCTGTTAAAATGTTTCGTGGAGAAGCGAGCAACCGAGGAAGAAGCAAAGAAAGTGGAAGCATTCAAGGATACAAGAAAAATCGATCGGTGAGTTACGATAAAAGCTGCAAGCTAAGGGAAGTCGTTAGATGTCATACTTTGTCGTCCGAGTAGAATACTCGTTAAAAGAGCCTTGGCTCGTTAACGGTGTGTTTTGTACGTTGTACAGTGATGCACGATACAATTGGTGAAATTTATAAGATGTACTCGACACTGTTCGCTCTGACAGTCGGTTACGTTTGATCGTGAAATAGCGCAGATTGCCAATAACATGGTCGGCATGGTACGTGTCCTCGACCAATCGCAGACTCCCCGACCAGAAGAAAATTATTACATTTCGTAGCTGCATCGACGGCAAAGGAATTGTTTTCGGATACGTGCAACGAACACAGGGCAAATATGGCGGACTCGTGATCAGTATACTCTGATTGGGTCCTTTGCTCTCAACGGATTGTTGAACGTTATTTTAACACTAGAACCACCAAGGCAGTCAAAATGACTCGTTAGAATATTCTAATATAATCCCCTCAAATGAGCACCCGTCTGACTTCGAAATTTCTTAAGAAAAAAATAACCACGTACAACTGGAGCTGTTTTATACTAGCCCGCGTTATTCGAGGGTCGATTGGATATATTTATCGTCGGTATCTACTGTTACCTGTCCCTGAATAATGTTAATATTTTCTATGCTTCCGAAAGTACCACCTATTTTCATTGTAATTATTCAATTCACAAACACCTAAGTTCACAGAAATCGATGGCTCCCCGAACAACTATACACGAGGAGTGGAAACATCTCAGTCTAATGAGCCGTGATCGGTACACGCTAGGAAAAGAGCGCGCGAGAACGCGTACGAAAAATTGTTTTTCGAGGTGTTGAGGTTCCCATGTGTGTGTTTCCGGCCAGCTCGTAACTTCTGATGCACGGCGATCCGAAAGCCAGCAGCGCGGAGCGTCCAGAAGTCGGTTGATTAACGAGCTCTGGGGCGTGAGTTTTCAGCGGGCGTAACGGTGAATGGAATCGCGAATCGATCGGAATGTTCTAGCTGCCCGTTTCTATTAAGGTACCATCCCACCACTCGTCCATTTTAATTTCCACGCTCGGCTCCGAACGGAAAGGAAACTGGCAGAAATCAAGACACGGCTGTCCGGCGAATTCGTCGGCACGCAATGCTTTTCCATCTGTTAATTGAATTTGTTAGTAGAAACAAGGTCGAGAAACGCCGGCGCGTCGAGGGTCACGATTTCGTATAAACGGAAGTTATGCGAAAGGTAAATCGAAAGCATCGACGCCAGTGGTGCTTTCTTTTAATTAGCCGTGGAAACTTCGAAACTCAAGAAGTTAGTCGTCATCTTTATCTACGATTATTAACGGTAACAGTTTCTCTAGGGCAGAGATGGACAGATTCATTATCAAGATAAAGAGTTTCGAATAATTTTTCGAAGAGTTTCTGTATTCGTTAATATTAGTATTCTCGACCTATTTACATCTGGATAAGATGTTTATGATTTATGAGTTTCAAATTTTCGCGGAATTCCTTCACTTTTCGTGGACCTGTCGTGGTTACGGGGGCAATTATAGAACGTACGTACGGCGTTAATGTAGTTGTAGAGAGATAGGCCGTCGTCCCATGGTTCCTCCTTCTCGCATGACAAATTAGCGGGCCGTAAGTCGTGGCTACGATCCAATGCAGCCAAGCCGTGCGCGAAAACCTGCACGCTGTCGTACACCAAAGCTGGTTCTGCCTGAAACATACGTTTCCCTTCCTGTGAAAAGCTGTTTGGCCATTGGTGTGCCTGAAATTTCCTTTCCCTATGAGTGCAGTTCGCCGGATGAACCATTAAAACCATCGAGAACTCGACGATATCGTTTTGGAAGTACGTATTCTGATAATTTATAACGCGGTAAAGGATTTTGATTCCGCGAAAGGAAAGAAGCTCGGAAGTAAACTTAATTCCTTTACGAGCTCCACTGGCGAACTCGCGGGGAATAAACGTGTAATTTATTAAACAGTGAATGTCGACAGTTCCGAAGAAGGGCACTTCGAAGGAACAATAAAACGGCAGCGGTGTGTTTCCTTTAGAAATTGGTGATCTCCTCTGCCTTCGAAGGAAAGAAATTTTCGATTAAATCTCGAGTGGAGTCGGCCTTAAATTCATTAGTTTCCTGACGATGGAATAACTCTCTCCATTCGTTGCACCTTTTAAGCTGTTCTTTAATATTTTTGAACATTCCATCGAGTGTTCGGTTTTACGTTTAATGTTTCAGTGAACTATATCCACAGTAACTCATTAAGTAAGTACGTACAGATTTTAAAGGAATTAAAATCTTCTTAAATAAAGGTCGAACCTGTACAATTTTTAAGCGTTTAAGAAAAGTCCAAAATGTAGAAGCACAACATTCGCGATTGTCAGTGGAAAACGGCTCGACGAATCTTCTAGAAAGAAACTAGGCCGTGCTTCGAGGGCGCTCGATAGAGCTGTCTTAATTACGTTGCAGCTTTCGCCACTACCGGAACTCACTTAATTACTGAAATGCTGACAACGCTCTGCCTAGGCACCCATCGTGGACACACACACTTCTTCCGTCCGATGATCATTTTCTGTTACTTCTATTCGGTAATGTGTCTTCGGCAGAACATTTTAGAAATCCTTTTCGAAATTTCTTATGCACGGAATACATTACTACGGTTCTGTGCTCGGAGATCTCATTTAAATACGATTATAATTAATTTTAAATCGTAATAACTGGATGTTCATCGTACGAGCCTATCGTGTGTCGTTGAAATTTACTTCTGAAGATCGTGTATCGTTCCAGGGACGAACCTGTGGCGTGCACGTCTCTTCCATATCGCAAAACTTTGGGGAGCAATCGTTCATGGGAAACGCAGAAAATCATTTTCCATTCCAGCGCGCGGGCGAACGAGTTTTCGGGACGCTCTCTGGCCACGTTGCCCGATAACCGCGATTTCCGGTAGGGGCATACCTACCCTAAGAGTTACTTGAACTTTCCAACCAACCTGGATAACTCCGGTTTTGTTGAGGATCGCGTGGCCAATCGGCTGGAAGCGTTCCATTTGCCGGAGAACTTCTGCCACCTTTGGTTCCTCGAGGTCCACCAGACGGAACGCAGTCATGTTCACGCTATTGTATTTAAAATCCTCGAGGTCGAACGTTTCGATGTCCTGAAAGCAGAATTTCACTGTCACGACAATAGGAATAATCGAGTACACATATATATCGTATAACGTGTATCGGATACAATTTTCATGAAACATATTTCGTTCAATAATATCCACTCGAACGCGATCCATTGTTGTGGATCAGCGGACAAAAAAATACGTCACGGTAAATACAATGCACAATATAAAAACGCAGATATGAATACGATATTTTGTAAATATTGATGAAACTTTTGTAATAACGAGACCAATTCAGAGCAATATGGAAAAACGGGTTGTGCGCTGGGAGGGTAAGCATAAATATGATCTGATTCTGCATGCAAAAGTAAGTTCAAAACAGGAATTACAATATTGAAATCGTATGGTAGCCTGTTAGTTATTAAAAAATCGTGCCTAAAGTTTGAATTTGTACTCTGGAATACGCGTTAAAAAAGATATTCTGATGGTGTCATACTTAAACGAGTCACCCCGTATAACACCACCGTGTCTATATTCACTGCAAGTAGAGAAGGTAGGTCGTGGTCAGACAGAAATCTAATTTTCCCCGAGAACGACTTTGCGGTTTCGATTTCCTTTGCATTTAGAATCATCCCTTCCCCCGTCGCGCCTCGGCTCGTCCCGTCACACAAACCCGCGAGCGGATTAATATCTCTCCCGCCCTTGGAAAACCGAGCCCAGCAAAGCCCGCCGTCGTGCTTTACTCCGGGGACCGCGGGGGTCTCTAAATTGAAGAAAAACGGCCGCGTTTATTGCCACGCCGCGGTGCAATTATCGTCCGCCGTTTTCTTAACCCCTCTCGACATCGGTGGCCTCGTCGTCGCTCCTGGCTGAAAGCGGCTAGTCTCACAGATATGATTTATAATTATTACAGGATGATGCATCGCTGCCCGGTAGACCGTTAAAGTAAATAATGTGGATTTCAACGGAGGTCAGCGACCCGCGCAGCTGCACTCGCCGACTTCTGGTGACAGATAAAGCTCGTTTCCGGGTACGTGGCAGCTATCCCACCCCCGTTCCTCGCGCTCACCCCTTTCTCCGCTCTTTTCGGGACTCCTTTCCTGTACCCTCGCCCCCCAACCCCTAGACCGCGTTATTTCCCTCTCGAATTGCGATATCGTCCCAGGAAGTCGCGCCCCGTGCCTCCTGACACGTGATTTATTCCGACCATGGTGGGTTATGTTTACGCGGAACACGGGGCGAAATTCGACCACGAGGGGGATGCAACGAATGTGACGAAAAACACGCGGTGTTTGTTTTTTTTTCTTTTTTTTTTAACACTATACGAGCGGCTGCTGTTTATTTTGTCTGGGCGGAATTGTTTTCTCGAATTCTAGAGGCCTCGATAGAAATTACAGTTCGCTGAAAACGTATTTGTCGCGAACACTTTTCCATTCTATTGTCACGTTTTCGATGTATTCGATGCGAGTATTTCGACAATGAATACAGGGTGTCTCGACTAAATGGGATCTAGCCTAAATATCTGCCTTATTTATTGGTGTGCGACGAAACTTCTCGGGACAACATTCAACTATTTCAAAGGGTACATCTACACTGGATAGAAAGAATTATTTTTCATATCAAATTTCAGAAGGGAATTTCTCGTTATTAAACGATTGAAACGGTGGGGTTATTATAGGATTCTAAATCTTGTCAAATCCTTGTTAAAAAATTTTTACCTGAGAAGTTTTTTCATACAATAGTAAATAAGACAAATATTATATGCAGTTGAACTCCTTTAGCTGAGACACCTTGTCTAGAAAAAATTAATTTCCATGGAACTTTATATTATTTACATCTCTCTTCTGCCACTCAGTGTATTCGCTACCAGATAAAAATTCAAAAACAAAATCCATCATACCACGATGACTCGAGTGACGGTGATTCAGTGATGAATCGTTGTTTACATCCAGCCCGTATTACCGTCGTAATAAACAGCAGCGTTTCAGTATCTGGCCAGTTCATGGTAACCGGTCAACGAACTTGCAAATTGACCGAACGAAAGATCATAATTATTTTCGTATTCGTCCCAGTCGTGAAAGCCGATTAAATATACGGAATAATATTTCACCATCAGCGACTAATTAATTTGCCATTAGTCGCTGAATATTGTATCTCGCTGCGGTTCGTGGTTAATTTCGTGTTTCGACTATCGATACACGGACGGGATCTCTGACATTCGACGTCGCGTAATTCAGCAAGCGGATTATGTCGGAACACATCGCGGGAAATTTATCGTAGACGCGTCTCCGTAGACGAACCGTCTTTCAGTTAATTTCCGTCGATTCGTATGCGACCCCGTGAACAAGGAACTTCGCGTACCGTGTGGTTGTCCCACGCGTTATCGCGTTTCTCTCGTATCCCCACGGAAAACGCGCGCCTCGTGGATGATCTACAGTTGCCTCGAGTGGGGGATTCGTTCTGTTATCCTGTTTGGTGAATACGTTGGAATTCTTTGCGATGTAATCGGTGCAACTAGTCTGACCATGCATTGTCTGTTTCTACTTTATCCTGTGGGTATTTACGAATTTCGATTCAAACGATTGTAATACGGTTGAAACTGATGAAAATGAAATGAACGCACTGAAACATTAGTTGGGGTTGTAATTACTTTTCGTTCGAATGATTTGTAGATATAAATGCCTGGATTTTGTTTAAAATCTTCGGTTCTGTAGAATGCATTATACACCTAGACAATGCTATAGCTTTGAAAATTGTAGATATCAAACGGAAAATCATTCACAGTTGTGTGTATATTCATGAAGGTCGTGGATTTGAAAATGCCTGAAAGTGTGTGTCTTTCATATATAGCTGTTCCAAATTATACTACGACCGAATGCAATCCGAATTACCGAAAATCCCGAATTACTCCACAACCAAATATTAGCTAACAGTCGCGGTACGCCAAAGCATTCGCGACATCGAAATGCAGTAGTTCAGAGATCATAACTCGTGATTACCTGTAGCCGGAAATTTTGAATTACTGTGAATAGAAATTGCGAGCAGGTTCAAAAGGAAGCGCGTGCGTCAAAGCGCGATAGAGCGTCAGGCTTTCCAACTTTCACCCGTGCTTATTAAAGCTAGCTTCATTAATCTCCCCGCCCCCTCCTGGCTCTAATTGCCATCGCTCTATACGGTGAAACACGACGGAATACTTACAAATGTGGTGAACATGTAGTGGTATCTGTAATCGTTCATCTGCAGCTGAAGTATCTGAAACAGCGAGAAAAGGGAGACTGGGTTACTGTCGATTCAACGGAAACGTCGTGTTTTTCTTTAATTTTCCCATGACTCAGGCGGACCTTCCTCGTTCGTTCGGTAAATGGGACTCCGGGTGGAGGCGGGGATTAGACGGATAAGAGGAAAATTGAAACGTTTCTCGCCAGGAGAATATACGCAGCCTTACGATTCAATAATTTCCTAGAGGTTCATTTCACGCGAAATCGGACAGTTTTAGGATTAACATTTCGGATTTTCTTGACACTTGGATACGTTATAGTTTTTATTTTGCAATTGTTTTAAAGGAAACATTCGACATGAAACGTAACGAACTAGCATTCTAGTAGTTAATTATCCTAGTACCAGCTACTTCAACGAACCGTTCATCGTTCTTCGTTAAACGTACCGTCACATCGTTCTTAATATTACCCAGCGCATTGTACTTTGTCATTCCCAGCCTGCATACGATGTTTCACGCCTCGATCTATCATTAGGCATTCCGAGGACGTGAAGCAGTCCGATAAACGTGCACGGATTTCATCGAAGAGCTCGAGGTGAGAATGGAGGAACAAAGAGGAAGGGGTAGTACCGAACGCATAAAGGAACAAGCTGAAGTAGCTGCGAATAGGATTGCAATTGGGATTGCAGGGAATTCAAGACGTTTTTTGATTACTCAAGCAACGACGAGATATCCACGGGAATCTTCCAGAGAGAAACGGCATCATGCAAATAACCGGGTACCCTTCGATCACGTCTGAGCGAAGACTGTCTTTCGTGAAGGCAAACGGTGCTCGAGATCCAGTTAAAAAACGTTTCCTCCCTCTGTCTTCCACCCTCGAATTTCTTCCCGTAATAAAAAGCGCGGGGGATTCAATTAAAGCAGAAAAAAATTTCATCGTACTCCTCGAGAGGAAACCCGTGATCCGTAGCCGGATATGAAAACGATCCCGACAGTTTTATTGGATCATTCGTATCGAAAATTCGATTCCTTTCGTTTCGATTTATACACAAACGCGGCTGCGCGCGCGCCGTTGATGTAGCAATCCCGTTTAAATGAGTAATCCTTGCTTTTAATATTCCATCAATGGGTACACGTTCCTAAGAGGGAAATGAATATTTTCCCCACCCTGTAGAAAAACGGGGATACCACTCCTCCTGTGATTATGGAATCCACCGTTCGCATGGTTCCGTCCGTATATTTCAATGGAAAATTTAAGCCCGAGCATTGCGAGAAATTCATTAAGCCGGCTCTCTGGTGCGAGTTATCGATCCCCCCTCCAAACATCGATCGAAATACTACTGTATTCCGTGTACCGTTTCTCTCGATAACGGAGATAACTCTATCTAATTTTTTCCCTCAGGAATCATAAATCTGTTTTCATGTTTTACGCACCATTCATTATTCTGGTCTCTCCAACACCCACGAAATCATTATTATGTCGAAAATTTAAACGAACCGAAGGTCTGAACGTTTAATGTTCCATTTAATGGAGCACGTGTCGCGGAAAACTGTTCGGATACTGTGGATTTTCGCGACCGCGCGTCGAGCATTTTCTAGCACGATCGATCGGTTTCTAAAAAAACTGACGGGGATGTGGACCGATGTGCAATTTCAGTCAAGCCGGTGCCTCGTCGGATTATGCAAATCTTTCCGCGCGCTGAACACGAGCCGATCCGCGGATAAAAGGCTCGAAAATTGTGGAAAACACCCGTGCGTCTCGGCCAGTCCATATCACAATCTGTGAACCAGGACGTTCTCTGGCCGAATGATACTAGCTCGATCTCTCGTATCATACACACGGCCGTCGAAATCGCGTCGAAATTCCATCGAAACCGGTGCTGCGTACACGTCATCGGCCGAGTGACTCGAACACGTGGTTAATCGTGTTCCACTGGCCGGCCTTGTAACCCCGGCAATTTCGGTTTACAGGATTTTGATTGCGAATCCATGAAAACAGATACACACGCGTATGCAACGGGATCCACGGTGAACGAGCACACGTGTTGGAGACGGAGGATTAATCCAGATTGGGTTTATCCTCGTCCCGAGGGTATTTCAGCTCGTTTTCTTTGAAACAGGGGTTGGCTTCCGGTGGGCTTAACGGAAGCAGGAATACGGTCGAATTTGGATATTTTTTTAGCAATAGAGAACTGCAGTCAGTTTTGTTTACCGTGTGACACAACAACAATTTCATTCACAGGTATGTGAATATTCCTATGTCAAGTCACAGTCGACATTTTTAAATTGCCATTTTAAATATGTATTATATTTCATAATACCTTTTTTCTTTACTACATTATTAGATAATTAATGTACGTGACCATTTTGTGTAACAAAAAATTCCTTGAATCGTTCAGATCCATGATTGTTGGTGTTACAGAATCGACAATACGTTGTTCTACGCAAATCATACGACCATCGGCTGCCGATGTTTGTATTATGCATAGTTTTCTTCTTGCCAGTATAAAAATGGCGGTGTCGCCGACCAGGGGAAAACAAATTTCTTTAAATCGGTTCCTATTGAATAACTGTCTTTTGAAGTACGTTTAAAATAAAGCACCTAAAATGACAGGATGTTATCGGAAATAAAATTCAAAAGTTAATGCTCCGATTTCCTACCGTGCCGAATGAAATATTTGATTATTCTTCAGACATTTCCGGAATCATTCGAACACATTCCCCAGGAATACAAATGTTTGTTCAAGTTTGCACGACGACTGACAAGCATCTTTCACCGTTTCCGGACGTAAGAAAGAAATTTAAGATTGTACCGGTCCATCGAACTAGCATAACATTATCTATTGTTTGCCGGAAATTTCCGTACAGTCAACGAAATCCGATTCCCGTTTCGGCTCTCGCTATGCTCCGAGAACGAGCCGTGACTCCGTAAGAATACTATGAATTAAACTTTCCCGCGGCTTATTGTCGGAAGAAAAAAACCGCCCAAGGTTGAAACATTGTGCGCAAGAGTTTTCTTAGGACGCGATCTAAGACCTCCGTATTACGTTTCCGCCGAAGAATAATGGCTTTTTAACCCGGTAAATAGAAAGTCCGCGCGGAAAAATTGTATTCCCGTGGCGGCAAGTCGTTTTAAATGTATTCGTTGAAAAATTGACGGATTTCCTGGCCGCCTTCCGGCGGTCTTTGCGCTGTTTCTGCGATAAAAAATCCCATCGAGTCGGAACAACTGAAAACGTTCCGGCGGACAGGAGGCTTCAGACGGGAAAACAATAGCGCAACACGTTATTGCGTACGAAAAGTCACTGAAAAATGTGGCACGAAATGGAGAAACACGCGACCTGCCCCTGTTAAATGTTCACAGAACGAAGTGGAACAATAAATTGCCGCTTGTAACGCTGCTGTGGCTGCTGACGAAACGCTGGCCGTTGTGTTTGCGTTCCTGTTTCGGTTCCATCGGAAGCTTCGCCCATGTGCATTGGACGTCATCACGACGATATCTTTGTTGGACATGTTTAGGGCTTGAAACTGACTGGCTGACGGCAATTTAAGTTATTTTTTCAACGCAAAACGACGGGGTTGCAAGGTTCATGTAGATTGAACCTGATTAAAATATAGAGTCAGACAGTCGAGCGAACTTGACTCGTGTTTCGTTACTGTAGGAATTCTTTATTTTAATTTCTCACATTTCCACTCGTCCGCATGTGCTCTCGTGGTTTCCATTATTACGTATATTTCTACTGAAACCTCAAAGAGAAGTTCATACGATACGGCTCTTTTAGAAATTGTAGAACGAATTCATGGTCGTGTTTCTCGATGTAACAGTATTCTCATTATGATTTTATTCCTGAATATTTCCCAGGCAGCTGATGCGGGATTATAACGTCAAAGAAGTTGAAAGCCGGACGTCTGACCACTCATCGATTATCATACATTTTCAATGAGTCGTTCGCTTCTGCAGTGATTTCAACCAGAATTTTCGTTCCCTGCTTTGGTTTCCATTGGACCTGTGATAAGCAAATATTTTGGCGCGTGCTGCGATCCATACTTGAACATTCTCCACATGTTTTGATCTAGATTCTTTCCGCAACAGTTTTCGATAAAGTAGAATGTCTGGAAATATTTTATACACGCGATTGTTGTGGTTTTTATACTCTTTTTGAATACTCGTATAAATTCAGTGAAATAGAGATGTTCCAGGAGTTCCGACTGGTACAATGCAACCATTCACGTTAAATTACTCGTAGTAAATTGCAATCCAGATAGAAATTGGTCTTACAAAAGTGTGTAACATGTCACCTATGTAATTGACGAAACCGTCGCTCCTGCAATTATATAATAATAATGGTTCATGTAAAATCACACTCCTAACGGTATTACAATTGGGAACTTACACATTAGCCTTCTCCCATATTGTAGTTACAAAGTTCCTTACGCTTTAGATACTACATAAATTTTTTTTCTATTCCGCATATTTACGGAATTCATCGTCATGAAGGAGATTCATCTTCAGTAAGGATGCTCATTTTCCACCAATTTTTTTTCCTCCAATCGGGAGCCAGATATAAATCGTCCTCTAGCACGCACCGTACTCGATACTATTGCAGCGGACTTTCGAGATTAAATATCGTGCGAGCCAGTATTATAGGTCTTCGGTTCCGCGTCTATTCAGCGGCTATACATATTGTACACGCGACGTATCGATCGATGGTCCCACTCTCCGCCCAGCATTCTTTTTACGGTCCTCCGAATAAGGATGCGAAGCTCCTCTATGGGTTTCCACGATGCGCACGGAAAATCTGTAACCGGGGCTCCTTGCCTTCAGAATGTAACGGTGTAATATTTCAAGCGGCGTTACAGACGCGAGCCAAGCCCCCAGCATTAAAGGAACTATCCGGCCAGGAATTCGAGACCTTAAATTCTTCGCGGTTCTTCCGATGAGTTTCCGAACTGGATCACGCGTGCGAATTGCGCACAGACGAGATCAATGTTTCGAATGCTTCTGGTTTATGCATGGAAGGTTGGGACAGTGGACATTTTGAAGGAAGTTTAATCGAAAGTTTTCTTCCCTTTGGACAATTATCGAAACAGCAATCGATAGTTGCACATTCGTTATAGCATATTTTCAGGTAAATGATATTTCACGATGTCTTCCTGTTTAATTTAACATTTAAGTAGCCGTTCATGTCGATAATACCATGCATTTCTAGATATTTAGAGAACGATCTATTTTATAATAATTTGGAATAAAGAATTAGACGAGGTAATGGCCTAATTTATAATACGGACGGAGGTTTGACCAAAAAATGATCAAGGCTGCGTTGTATGGATTTGCCAATCAGTTCATGGTTCCTTTTTCGAAATTCACGAAACAACTTACCGCTCGAAAAAATTGTTGCATGTGCGCAGGATCCGTATCGACGATCAACTTGTAAATCTCCTTGTGTCTGACTTCTCGGAGGACCTGCCTATAGGATCCAGGCCCAGCTTGACGAATGTACATCTCTGTCCTCGCAGAGGGTGGTGATTTCACGAGATCCTGTAGCTTGAACAATCCTGCAAATGAAAAACGAACGCATACATTTAATGTCAGTAAAGCTTTTTTAACACACTGGTTCCATTAAAATTTCCATACTTTTTTTTTTCATGCATGTCTGTTTCGTCACAAAGGTCCCTAAACGTGCTCAAAGGTTCGATAAAAAAAAATTGTCTGCGTTTGGCAAATAACTGGAGGCTAACAGAATTATCCGGACAGGCAATTAAATGTACTACCTTTGGTCGACGCAGGCAGGTCAACAAATATTGGCTAGCAATTTTCACAATTTTTCGGTGACATTATGTTGGTTATTTTTTCGCCAAGCGCTAAAACGTACCCCGTGTATTTGTAATTCCGAGGCATGCAAGCGGCACGTGTGTTTCATTAAACGTTTCTTCGTTCGCCAGGCCGTCGATGTCGATCGAGAACACGGTAGAACACCCACCCGCACATTTCCATAGGATTCTAAAAATGGTCACGAGCTATGAAGCTCGTGCTTCTTGTCGTCAGGACGCGTAAAATCCCGAGAGCCGCCGCCGCCGGCTTGAAGACGCTCGTCACGCTCGGCCAAGTGCGCAAAAATTTCGAGAGACTGTAGGGGCCTCGGCGGAATTTCAATTTCATCCCATTTTTCGACGACGTAACACCACCGCCACCGGCCTTGTTCTACTCGTGATGGAAATTTCGCTCGCAATTACGCTCTCATCTAGATTCTATGAATTCATTCGAGTCATGCTTTGAATATTTCAAAAAAATAGTGGAAATTTAATTTTCATAAATTTCAAGACATGTATTTCTTCTGAATACGAAACTGTTTTATATTAACTATTATGACTTGCCAAAATGTTGGTGAACGAATGTAATGATAGGAAGTGAGCAGTCTTATCTGAGAAATTACAGTGACTCCCACATTCCTTCACAGACTTCTGAAATAATAATTAGGTGTCGAAACTTTTATGCAATTTTTATTTATATGCTCTCCTTGTCAGTACTTTCACCATCCTTTTGCGATAAAATTTTCTCAATTTTGAAATAGAATTCGCACTTTGGTAAGTAATTTTGTTTATAGAAGCTACAACCCTTCGTAAAGAAATTGTAAAAAAAATGTATGATTGTTTTCGCGGAATAATTGCTCTGAGTCCTTCCGGCTGAAAATCTGGAATCTAAAGATATCAGTCCACTTGCTAGACGTTGTTTCCAATTATCGTGTTGAATTTCTATAGTACCACCTATGTATCAACTGCCTCTTTATGTTTTTAAATACATGTATTTGGTAGAGTTACAGGATAGTTCGCATCTTGGGGGGGGGGGGGGGGGGGGTGAGGGGTTGTTACATCAATGTATTGGGGAAAGTTTTGTTCACCCTTAGAGTGGCGGATGCTTCTCGTTCCTTGAAATTTATGTGAATTTCGCCCGGTTCAGTAAGTACACGAGATGAGAAAGAATCCCGGAAGGCACGCACCCCCTTCTTTGTCCCTTGCTTCTTGTCCTGTTTTGTGGAGCTGACAGCTGAATGATTTGTTAGCTGACATAAATATAGAGTTTCAGTCCTTACACGTCGTCCGTTTAGAGTTATTTCGGAGATTCTCCTGTATGACCGATGTGTGAAAATGAAAAGTAGATAGTTGCTTATTTCAAGCACAATCTAAACGAATCTTCAGTCTTTCGCGTAAATTTCTCAATAATATCTGAATTATTATTACAATGATCAAGAGCATTGCAGTGATTCTACAGAAAAATAACGAATACTGTTAAGAATTAATAATATTTATTAGGAATATTACTGGAGAACTTATTAGCAGACTTTGTATATCAAAGTGTCTTTACCAATTTGACTGCCACATCACGTTCAAGCTGGATTATTTAAACATCGTTAGAAATTTTCTATAAAATTACAATCGCTGTATAATTTAGAACAAGTTTAAAAAACTTTGTCTTTTTCATTGTGGCACTCAACGTGTTAAACAGAAACGGCAGTCGATTAATGAAACACACTCTAATAAAGATATTGCGAGTGATGGCACGGTGAAATCAAACCCGCAAAATTCTTTTTCAAACCTGAGAACATTCGTACGCGCGCAAAATGTTTTGACAACCAGGCCGAGTCGTCTAGTTTCTGAATGGGAATTAGAAGCTCCGGATGGCTCACAATTGTCAGTCAGCACCCCATCCGCGTCGTACAAAGGACAAAAGACATCAATCCTCGTAAATACTCAAACGAATACGGTTTCGAATGCTCGAGAAAATTCCCGGGGCGCAGTTTTCAAAAGCTACTTCGCTCGGCCGCGGAAATTTCGCGATTCCATAAGCTCGTCGGACATAAGCCTCGCGCCGAAAAAGCTCGTTGTTCCACGCGAACGTTTCAGCTCCATCCAGTTCGAATGGAATTCCTCGAGCGTACGGTGTCGGGCGCGAGATCTCACGGAACGCTGAAAAGAATCGCGTGCCTCATCCTCCCCCCTTTCAGCCATTTAATACATTCGCGGGTTGTCGTGTTTCAACGCGGAAAACGCGCGCACCACGCGTTCTTTCCGGGCGCTCGACCGGAATTCGAGCAAATCCACCGACGAGCACCATCCACGCGAGCTGAAATCGATACGAGTGTCGACAAATTTTTGCTGGATGTTTCGCAATAACTGTTTCCCTCGAATATTACAGTAACGTGCACTTTAAACAACGAACTGCAAAGAAGAGCTCTTCGATGTCTTATTTTCGTTTGAGGGTACTTGTAACTGAATCTGTACTTTAAAACAGATGTATATAGAACAAACTGGTGTAACGTGATATCTTCAGAAAAATTTCGTAAGAAATTTTTACGAAAATAAAGGATAGAAGTTTGTTTTCGGGGTTGTCCAGAAACCGTTTGTACTATATATTATCAAGTTGCTTATCAAAGTAACACCTGTAGCAGTCCACGAAGTGAAAGCAATTCTTTTAATGACACGGATGCTTGTAACCCAGGATTATGTAACATATTTATAGTTGTCGGATTTCTTATGCATCGTACTAATAGAAAATATTTAAAATAAATGCCGTATTTTGATTTTAAAAAACAAACGGTAAACGCTGATTCACGAAAGCTGTGCGCCTTTTAATATAGTTCACATTTTGTCTAAATATGTCCTTTTCCGGTGGGCCGGGCCCCTGGAGTTAGTTTCTCGTTTCACGATTCCGTTCGCCAGCGGTTACTTCCGGCGATAAGAAAAATTTACCGAATTCCGGGAAGTGGGCCAACGCGAAACGTTTGAAAGTTACGCTCTGTGGCCGATATTTTTCGGGTCGTACGATGTTCCAGCAGTTTCCGGCGAAGATGCCATACGAACTTTGTTGTTTCATTTGGTAAAGACAATGGAAGGCTTGGGATATGTACATCGATAGCAATACGCTCTGCCTTTATATCGTTCGAATTAGAGATTTTTGATTGTAATGAAAGTTTCTATTTTCTTAGGCTCGGAAGTCTGAATTATAAACTTTCCACTCATTACGATACGCCTCGGCGAAGAGAAGTTTTGAAATGTCTCGGGTTTACGGTAGGGAGGAATTTATCTCTGTCATAAAGATCAAATGGATGTCGAGTGGAGACACATTCCTCGGGGGTCTTCGTCCCTCCATCCCCTGCCCACTCGTATCTCCTGCCATGATTATATCGTCTAATCAGGGAAAGTAATTCCAAAGAACGGTGCGCGCCTCCGTTCCTCCCGACAGTCTAGTCATTCTATAAAAAGGGACGAAATACTGCCCCCTGAAGTCTTGAATTGATCGCATCGACATTATTCACGGAAACAACAGTTTCAATTTAACAAATCCTCAAAGATTTCCAAGTTTGTCGAAGAGTTCTACAATCCTTTAACTACTTCGATAACATTTCACAGTGATTTTGTAAACAGAGCGTGAAACGTTTTTTTCAACTGTTTAGATAAGAATCCTCCCTCTTCGAGCTTGGAAACTGAACTTCTCGCCACGCTACCTCGAATCCCAATCACTGCCGGAAGCAAGCTTTCGACCGAATTCTGGATAGCCAGACGAAAGGAGTGATGCTCTTCGTCGTACAAGAATTGAATTACTGGGCCGAGGATCCCATGACCGCGAGTTTTGTCGCGGAAAAATCGGACGGCGTCTCGAGCTGGGGATGTCGCGTGGCCTGAACTAAGAATACAAACTCTAATAGAATTCCGGGCGCACGGAACGCAAAAGCTTCTGCGGAATTCCGATGAGTTGCTCGGTACAATACACTGGGGAAACTGTTCTATACCTTGGTTACCGAGTCGATACAACCATGGATATTTGATTATATCTTATTGAAATATATACTTCAGGACGACCCTGGTAACGCTCCAGGCAAGACAGCACATAGCAAACGGTGCAACTCTATTTTTGTGAAACTGTTTATATTCTATATAGAATTTGTGAAAAACAGAAATTCTCAATTTCTTTGTTCTCAGAAGCAAAATAGCTATACTTAGATTTATTATTTATAAACAGATTACGCTTAACAAAAGGGTTATATTCTCCACTTTTCTATCATTTTGGTTGTTAAAATATACCTGATGTAGGAATGGCAGCTACACTCCGCAAATATTTTAATATCCCTACGTGCTTTATAATTAAACAGAAAAGAACCTTGCAGTCACAGTATTTCCAGTTAGACACTAATAATTCAAGGCATACTCTGATGACGGCGATTCGAAGTCGCAAGACGGCGAGATCGAAGAAAAAAGTTCCTGGCTCCACGGCGTCGAGCCTCACCGCCATGATTTTCCTCGGAACGGCTCGGTTACGTTCGCGTGCGTATGACAGGCGGACATTTCGCGTCGCGTCGGCATCCACTTTCGCCGGCTGATCCCGACGTTCTATTTGCATAGGAACGCGTCAGCCGGCGCGGCGAAAAAAAAAAAAGAAAAAAAAAGATGAGAAAATACCGTAATGACTAGCCCATATGACAGGCTATGCAATCCGTGCGCGGTGTTCCGTGATTCCTTGGAGAGTGCTACTCATATACTTGCAAATCTGTCCGCGGCCGAGAATTCTGTTTTATTGTTCGGACGGGGGGGTGTCGTGTTTATCATTGTCGCGGTGGTTCTGTCCCGCATAGGGGTAGAAAAAGGGGAGAACGCAATTTCGGTTGCTCTAACCGGCCTCCCGTGACGCGGTTTTGATTATGTTTGATGCGTACGCACGAGGTCGCGTATAAATATTCCTTGTTTTTTTTGTTTCTTCTTTTTCTTTTTTGAGTCCTCGAAATCTCGTCGCGTGGGACTGGTACCGAGACACAGGTTGGAAACTGTAATTTGGAGGATGTATGTTTCATTATAATGAAGAGGAACGGAGATAGAATTACGCACTGGGATGTCGGATGAATCTTTTTGAATGTGTATATTATTCATACGGAACGAGATTATGCAGTGGAAACGTAAATATTGAGAATTGAGAGGATGTATTCGTTATTTAATGAATTTTAGCCTAGGAGAGTGTAGATTTGATAGTGATCTTGTGTCAATCGAAAGATGAAGATGTTTGTTTAACTATAGATTACTAATTATTTGTGAATATTACGTCTGAAAGAAAACATGTAATATTCTAGAGAAAATGTTTAATAAGGTAAAAATCACTAGGATACACAAATAGAAATTCTATACAAATTTCTACGATTAATTGCAATCTGGAAAGTATATGAACGAACACGCGAGTCACTGTAAGTACTTATAATAGCCAGACTTGAAAATAATACGATAAAAAGTTAGGGCAGCAACGTGCCGATTTCTGAGAATCGCGAATTCGTGTTCGTAATTTTTACGATAATTTAGTAATCTAGCTGGGGATATGGCCCGTAATAAATCCACTTTCCGTCTAATGGCCGATAATACTTATTTCCTTAACTAACTAGATCATCAATTTACACATTGCAGAGAAGTGTACTATGGACCCAGCAGTAAAGCCTTTGACGTTCAGTAACAAAGGGAATGGGTGGTGAGGAAACTGTCTCTACTCACCGTAGTCCTCCTCGTAGATGATCGCGACTCTTGTCCAATTCAGAAACGACATGAGGTCCTTGAAAGCCTTGTTCAGATGGTCCTGCGAGGGATAGAGGTTTATACTGAACTCCTTGAACGTCGGTTCGAAGTCGACTCTGGCCTCCAGATGCGGGACGTCCAGTGCCTCGCATATGCTCTGTATGTGGGCGCCCAGAAGAGGATCGGACGGTCCGAAAATCCCTTGCACCGAACGGGAAAGTTGCTTGCAGGCTGCAACAGAAAAGAATCAAAGACTCGTTATTGCCGCGGGAAGCTTTGCCAAAGAAATGTTCAACTCTCCGAGGCTACTTTTCTCTGCCATTAAACGTCGCAGTCGTGTTAAGTGTCGCATTACACGACGAGCTGGAGTTGAAAATAGAGACCGGAAAGAGGGAGTAAAAAGGGGACGAAAGAAACTCGTATAGAGAGTTGTGGGAACAGAAATACGAGGATGACTCTGTCCGACACATGGATTTCACATAATATATATATCTGGATGATACTTATTTGACAGCTTTGTTACAATCAGAACTGTATCAGAAATTTTTATGGAAGATTTCGTTTTCTGCCTTGTACCCCAACCATTAACCCAGTGATGGGCAACTCAGCGACCGCCAAATTCACTAGCGGGCAACAGGCAACATAAATCCTCCCAGTCGATGTTACTTCAACAGAATCAACAATTGACATTAATCTGCACCCGCGACACGTTTGTTCATCGATGAATGGTCCTGCACCGATGTGTTCATTCGTTGGTTTATTAATCGAACGATTCAGTGGCGGGAAAAAGCAACTGTGCGTGATTTACGAGGTTGTGGCGTGAGCATCACGGAAAATCGACAGGAAATTGATACGTTATCGTAACGTTGGGTTTCTGTGATCCACACGATCCTTTCAGCCCGCGATACCATTCCGAGCCTGACTTTTGGACGCGATCGCTGGCACGCGTGTAAAGACCCGGCGTCACGATGAACGGGAACGGACGAGCTCGATTCCGAAAGTGGGATTTCGGGGTGGCTAAGCATTCTCCACTTTGTCCGTCGCGGTTTGAATTATTCACGAGACTTTCTTTGCCTTCGGATCGACGACGGGCCGGGGAAGATACGACGATCGCCTGACTCATCGTTTTCGCGTTTACGCCGCCGGTTTCACTTTAACCGTGCATCGGTGATTCGTTTGAATCGATGGAAAATGCGTCCTTGTGATCCATTATCTATCGGAATTTTCTGAGATTTCCGCGGGATCGTGAACACTATTTGCACGTATTCTTGACAATATACATTGTTCTTGGAGAAAGTACTTATGTTGAGTAGGTATACCTGTTGTATATTATGGAAGCTTCTCGACCATATTGACGGGCCATTTGAAACAACACTGGATAGTCTATAAATCACTTACAGGGATATTTAAGTTACTTCTAATTACCAGGGAAAAAATATTTCACGAATAGATCGTTTGCAAAAGAAATCGAGGTCAACTGTCAACGTTGGATGGCACCATTAAACATTTTTCTTTCGACACTCTAACGAACAATACATGATCGGAGGAAGTGTACGATTTCAAAAGGAATATGATAGACGTCACTTGTTCCCAGGAAATTTCATTCAGGTTTTCATCGTTCGATGGACGCTGCGTTCCACGTTTCGCGCCGTTGCGTGTGTTTAAACCAGCGCGACAGGTTGAACGCCGCGGTACGTTGACGTCTACCGTGAAATCAGGCACTGTGAAAAACACGGAAAATATAATTTGTATGAAGCCCCCGCGGCCATTGATATTCCCGCGGCGCGCGACTCTGGAACAGCGCAGTTTAGCGGACAAATTTATGCCGCGTTTGTTCGGATTTATTCGCCGTTAAACGTCGATGCCTGATCGTCATTTCGACGAGCCCGGTCGACGCGACAATGAAATGGTGAAATCAAATTCAGCTTTCCAAATCACATCTATGCTTGTGGATTTACAGGAAATCATTTATCCACGGGATATCTTCGTTTCTTCGTGTTCTTTTTTTCGATCAACTATGAGACTGGAAGCGATCGATGGATAATTGAGATCGCGACTGGAAAACTCGAGAACGCTGCTCGATGAGACTCTAGGGATACTCTGTTGGGACTACAGGTAAGGTGTATTGGTGCATCGTCCGACGAAGAGGGGAATGGATCGATCTTTCAGGAAAATTATATCCCGAGACGCGATTCAGTCGATTGCTCGGAAGAAACGTTCCTGATCTCGGTGGATTTATAATTTTCCTTTGGTCGAAGTATTGTCAAACGTAATATTTACCGAATATGTTTAACCAGCTTCTCTTCGAAATTAATCATTTAAAAATATATATCCTAAGTGAATGCATGTCATGCAGTTCGCAGAAATCTAGAGAAGTAAAAGTGAAGGTAAACTCGAGTGACTGTTCAGACCACGGGTGACAAAGAAATCTATAGAAAAGCACGAAAACGAACAGAATTGCGGCGTAAGCGTCCAAAGTCGTAATAATAACTAAGGGGAAGGAGAAAACCCGCCCATTTACTTGGCGCCCAGAGATATTTACCAAGTCCACCAATTGTCAACAACGAAGTTTACTTTCCTATTGACTTCAAAGCCATACTTCCTGTAATAATGAGACCGTTTGCGATGCTTTTATTAATGTTTACAGAATTTTACCGATATCAATTTAAGAGGCTTGAAGTACGGTTGGGTGAGCCGGAATAGAAGACGAAGGGCGAATAAATCCACAAAATTCATCGAGCAACTTTGGCGGTCGCTTTGATCCGCCAAAGCGGAACATTATAATGGATAGTCTCGATTATTACCGGAAATTCACAATCGACGGTATAACTGCTTCTTTAAGAATTCAATCGATGTTCAGTCCGATTTTACGCAATCTTCCCGAAACTAATATAATAAAATTTTACTTTACATACATCATATCTCCCAATCGGAAAAAATTTGCAAATCGTTGAACCTTGGACGAACGACTTTTATAATTAAGTCCACAAATTAAAAATTTCCTCAGAAGCCAATCACGATCGTCCTGCTGTAGCCTTTAACTCTGTCCATGCCAAACAGAAATACGAAATAAACTAAAAGTTTTTTTCAAATTAATTTTCCACAGTAACTCAATCGTTTTCTTCGTGTTCTTTTCTGTTTCTAAGACTCCTTTGGTCTTATTTGGCAGCTGTAGAAGTTTTCTAATGTCTTCTGTTTTATTGTTTAGTATTGTTCGTTCCTTCCTGTTGAATCCGTCTTTGGTGTATTGTCTGCTGAAATAGTTTGCGAGGTCGCATAATTAGTTGGGTATATCTTTTTTCCATTCTTCATCCATTTCTAAAATCAAAAAGTTCTTAACGAGCAAGGAGCAAGATTATCGGTGTAAACTGGAATACGATAAATTTACTTTGGTCCTCGCTTAAATGTTAACCGAGCTTGTAATAAGAGGATTAACTTTCAAACGCAAACCTCTGGGAAAGAAAAATATTGGATAGGCAGTTCGGCGGGAGGGGCGCGAAAGTCGTAAAAGGGTAAAGAACATCGCGATCAGCTCGTGGCCGCGATAATTTCAGCAGCGGCGAAGCGAAGAGGAAGCCACGACTCGCTAAAGCCGGTGTAATTTAGGTAAATGGTGGTCGGTGGGGTTAAGTGCTGACGGAGAATTTTTTCCGTACGCGCGCCGGTGGAATCTAAAATCCGACACAGTGGTTTTCCGTCGACCAACGACAATGTCCGCTGGATTTTTTAGTTTACCCCTTTTTTCGTCGTGCCCTTTTGTCACATTTGCGTTCAACCTTTCAGGACACCTTTACTTCTATATAGTCGCCGACATTACGCAAGATGGCGACAGTGGACTCTACTAGCATTGTCTTTCTACTCCTACATCGTTACGATATTTTTAACAACCTTGTCTCACAATTAGACATACGTTCCAAGTTCTTAGACCCTATAGTCCTTCGGTTTCTTTTCTATCGTATTCCAGGCGATACACAATTGAACCAACATTTTTGTGTAATTTAAATGGTCTTCGTTAAATTTTTCTTGCTTGAAATAATAACCGAAATGTAGAGCGCCAGGAGTTGTTAGCGGTGTTTGAATCAAGAAGGCTTTGCTTAAAGTGTCAAGAAAGAAAGCGTTTAGCCAAACGGTCTGACGGATTCCGATGAAAGATTTCCTTTTTAAAAGGAATACGAGCAGGTGATACGGTTTCCGCGGCCGTTAACGTCGCATTGTTACGCAATCCGTGGCTTTCTGTTTCCGGCGTAGAAATGGCGCCTGGAATGCCGTTACACGACTCGCTACGGAAATTAGAGACGAAGCCATTTCTGGATGTCATCGTGCGCCAGTGACGAGTTACGGACTCGGCGGAGATAGCTTGACGGTTGAAACGAGGTCTCGCTGCGTTCGCAGATAGGCGGTTTTTAGAGGTGAATTGTTGGGAAAAGTATTTACTTTTTGTACGAGTCGTAGGTTCTAGTAGTTGGAAGATGCAAGAGTGGTTTATATGGTGTTATATCTCGATTATTATAGTCTGATGCGTATGCACCTGGTATACTGTCTTCTGTGTGTGTAATCTAGTAAATTGCATCAGGTAGAGAGTGCATAAACTCTATCTACGTAGACATGTTGACTACCACAGTGAAAAAGGTTATACGTAGCCAGACACATATTGTTTCACTTTTTTAAGCTGTGTATCGTCGAAAATATACATGCGTTTTGTTGGTAGAGGCTTTTGGTCGTGTTTTAAATTATACTGGCAATGTTAATTTTCGGCACAAATTTTCTCACGGACTTTAAATAACAGAGTCACCTTCCAATTTACGTGTCACCCATATTTGAGCGACATGACAGTCACAATATTAATTATAGTTAAAGTGTTATTATCTAGATGGAGGAATTCTCTGCCAACTATCAGGATAATCTTCCAAGGATCATCCAGGATTTCGATGGTCTTTCAAAAGCTCCTCGAGAATCTAGTTCATTCCAAATATTTTGGTTTTACTTCGATTACCCTCCATTTCGTGTATATATCAAGAAATCACGATCATTTAATCGAGACTAGTAACCAAGATTCGTTCAACAGCCGTCCTCTCTCCTCTGGTAACCACGATTCTCTTGGCCCGAGAAATATGTGCGTATGAAAACCGTTCGACAAGAGGAAATGAAGTGTCGTTGAGTCCCAATAATCTCGACCACGTTCACGACAAAATAGATATTCGCCAGAGATAGAACTTCCCTGGAAATTTATTGACGTCCGGTCGGATTTACGGTTCGCAATTCACGTTCGCCAACCGCCTACGATCGAGCGGCAAGAAACATTGTTATGGTTTCGCAGCGGAGCTGACTCGACCCGGCCTGTGGAATTGTTTTGCATAAATTTTAACTTATGACTCGCCCGTTCCCCGTCTTTGCTGCCGCCGTGTGTGCACGTATATCCGGGTTATTCGCTAAATTTTCGACGATCCGACTGCACATGGTTTCTCATACATATTATTCGAGGAATCGAGAGTAGAACTCGTTACCTTCCTGTAAACAGTTCGATTCCAGAAAGAACGAAATAACGTTTACCATCGGAAGGAGTGAAAAATTTGATACGTGAAACAGTCGAAATATCATTTTTTAAAGAAACGAGACTTGATCCTCCGAGTGTTGGGCTCGCGGGGCGTCCAGACAAAATACAGACCTCGTTAATTCCACGATTTAATTGCTTCGGGAACTCTCCCCGGATTTCGTAGCCTCTTGTTCATAACAACGTGTTATGACGGTAAGAACTTAAAGGGGATGTTCCGTGATTCCGGAGTGTTTTTTTGAGGATTCACCGTCTTTTCAATCCCTTCTAAATAAATATACGCGCAGGGTCCTGGACAAGCTTACCGCGTTTTTCCATCGATATTACAGCCGCGAGAAGAAACAACTATTCATTCTTTTACGTTCGAACTTCCGGTTACCGGCGTAACGCGTTCCGCCAGAGAAATACCGGCTCCACGACGAATAGTAAAAAGTTACGGCCGCCCGTGAACGCCGGAGCCGCGTAACTTTTATCTGCAAAGGCGTATCGGAGAGGTGGATGGGATGAAAATCCGTCTCGTGGATGCGAAATAGTTTCCCGAGGCGTCGTAGCTTTATCTTTTTTTTTGTTCGTCTGAATGAAAATCGAACGGAACGCCCGCGAACGATTTCCTGAACCCCGAGCGTTTATTAACCTCCGGAACGGAAAAGAGTCAAGGCCCACCAGGTACTTATTTTTTCTTTTTTCTTTTCATCAGATAGGGAACTCGTGCCTTATCGTCAACGCGACGTTTTCATGTCGAGATTCTGCCCGTTCTAAATGTGTTCGAGGCGTTAAATATTACGTTTCGTTGTCGTGGGTTTAGAGAAAAAGCTGGGCTTGTGTATACATCGGTTGAGGGAACGGGCTCTCTCGTGATGTAGGAAGATGCAGTAGGCGGAGAAGTCGTGCAGCGAAAGTGCTGTCCGCGTTGCAATTTTTTCGTTGCTGGTTTCTGACACAGTTCTGCGTGGTATGTGGGTCAACGTGTATCACGAAATTGAAAATTCTGTGCAGGATATACAGGAATGGTGTTGGTAACTGGTGGTTAAACCTGAATAGGGATAATTCTATATAAAAAAATAAGTTGAAAGTGTAGAATAAAATTTGTTCATTTAAGATGATTTACTGTATAGAGGCAAGTTAAGACTAGACGAAGAGAAACATGGAACAGTTGTTTTTCGAAAGACTTTCAGACAGATTTCTAAATTGCAATTTTTCTTCATATATCTGATTACTATCCGAACAGTAATTTAGCTAATCTAAGTAATAGAGGATTTCCACTGTATTGGCTGCATTTTCAATGAATTTTATGTGTACTTAAACTCTCACCTTTTTTCGACGTCCTGAAAGAATCATCCTTGGGCACGTACTGAATATCGTAGACCAACGTTGTGTTCGCCAGTAGAGTTTTGTCCTTGTTGATTTTGTAGATGGCGTATTTGAACGCCAGTTCGGATGGGCTGTCCCTCTGATCTTCCGTGAAGATGGCTCCTGCAATATCATCGGAGAGTGAACTCATTAATAACGTTATTATGTAAATGTAACAGTGGAAATTTTGTTTCACACACAATTTGCGTTCATATAGATTTCGAGTATTTCTTCAGCTTCGCTCGATTTACATCGTTCTAACGTGAAGAGACTCACATGTTACAGGAGCGTAATTAGATGCAGTGGTTGCCCGTACGCACCGTATAAACGCTTAGAACCGCGTTTCCTCTTACGGAGTTGATTGCCCCTCGAAAGCACACAGCGGAAGAATATTACCGTAGGTTGAATGGGACAGGTCTTCACCGTGAAATAAGCATAATTAATTCCTCTTTACAAAGCTTTCGGACACGCTGATTAACAGTGCTCGCGGAAACAGAAAAGAAATGCGAAGTGAATACCTAACCATCCCGTCTGAAATCGAAAGAAACTAAAGGAACGGTAAAATTAGGATTAACGACAATTCTATTCCGAAGGTATTCTCGTCAGGATATGCAACTTTTCGAGACCTCGATGGCAATTACCAAGTTTTCCATGCCCGTTTCTTCGTTCCACGGGCCGACAGACATCATTAATCTCGAGTACAATGAGGGGAACTAGAAGAAAATTTCTTTAAAATTGAAGTCGACGAAGGCGAATAGCGCGGGGTGGGGGACAGAAGCAAAGAGGATTAAACGACCCTTCCCTGACTCATAATTTTATACATTCAACCCCATTCGGGTCTCAACTGTCGCAACTTCGATAATCAATTTTATTCTCTCCACCCACCTCGTATTCGTAATACCTATCCCCGCGATGCTATCCCAAGAACTAGAAGCTGTCCGTTCTCGGGAATTCGTTTTCCTTCTTCTTCCTTTTTTTAATTTGCCGCGTACAGTGTGTTCAGGAGTTTATTAAGAGTAATCCATCTTCGAGCGGTCAATCTAGACACGGAGACCCTTTAATCCTTTATCCACCATGACCGGTTCTCAATTTTACGAACATTCTATCGTTTCGTCGAGCCTCCGCGTACTCGAGATCGAAAACGAATTCTACGAACAATCTCGTCCTGCTTTCATCGTTCTTGTGCGAACCAAGACATTTTTTACTTTGCGACTGAAAGCTCCAGGTAACGCTAATTTACATGATTGAAATTGTCCGACGGAACCGGTGGAAAGTGAATTCATCTATGTCATGACTAGAAGTTCCCTTAGGAGGTTCTTTCGCGGACGAATCAATCTCCATCACTCCAACCAAAACGACGCCGACGATAATTGGCTAACCGGAATTAATTGTTTCCAAACGATCCCCAGGCGGCCGGGTTACACACTTTCTCGTCTAATTATCGGTGTAGAAATGATTAATATACTCCAGTGGGGCTCTTGGTTTTTCGTCGCGGTGCGGGACACTGTCTGGAGGTTCTCGTGACGTGAAAAAGGAAAAAAATCGTTGGCACCTAATAAATGATACCGAGCTGGACGATTAGCCAGTGTCTAGTGACACTGTTTATTTTCCACACTACCGGCGGGGTAATTGAAGAGAGATGGATGCCGCTGGGAGTAGAAAGAACGAGTTAATATCCCTTGATAAGCATCAGAACAGAGACGCGTCTATTTGAATGACACGATAACTGTTACAAACGATCGCAACAGTCGGTCGCAGGAGGATCTTTCGAGTTCACGTTTTGCCTTCTGTGTCTTAGCAATTGTCGTTCAAAGTCGCATTAGGGGATTTAGGTGGGGAATCGTAAGAGACTTCGAGTATGCTGGCATCGGTTATATCGAGACACTGATTGCTCGATAAAGATCCTTGGGATGGAGAGCTCGTCGTTGCACGTGCCACGAGACGAGAACTTCTGTGGAAAGTGCATTTTTTCTGTTAAGCTACGTTCACATCGAATTTGTACTTTCTCTAATGTTTCAATCTTTTGACATTTTTTAGAGATTCAACACCTTGGATTTCTGTGAAATACTTACACGTTCTAAATATAAAGGATTTGAGAATAATCGAGGACTTTCTGACCTTGTATTAGTTTCCTTTCTTGAAGTTTCATTATTATGAAGTGGACTTTAGAGGAACGCAGATGGTACTTCTCTACAAAGAAGTACTGAGTTTTGAATATTTTATCATCGTTCCTACACATGTTCGATTATTTGGTAAATGATTGGAACTGTTTTTTTTTAAGTTACCCTGTAGCTATTCCGTTGTTACCGATCGTGTGTAGAGGGAAAAGGCTATCAGAAAGTGCTGTCGACGTAACGCCCGGGGCAGCTACTCGATGTCTGACTAATGCGATACTATTCCCCTTGTTCGGTGTGAACCGATCCTTTAGGCCGATCCCTCAGGGGAACCATCGAGGAAGGCACGTGTTCCTTAAAGGCTCTCACTTGCGTGCTTTCCAAATCGTTTCGGGAGACGTACGTGGCGAAACATTTCCTTGGAGGTAAAGTCTTATTGAAATTGGATGTCGTGCTTGGGGGTATGAAGAATTTTTTTGACATTTTTTCAGTATGGCTGACGTGAAGCGAACGTGCCTCTGGAGGAGATCTTTCGAATATTTTTATGGATCTCCAGACCTTGGAAAACTATTTTTATATAGTTTCTATATTATTATAATAATGTAGTGTTTTTGATCAATTCTGCATTATATACGAACAATTTGTTTCAGGCTTGGTTTCAGACTCTCATTCTAAAATTCCCCTGGAAAGGACACAGTCACGTCTGCTCGTTGGACATATAACAGGACACTGTTACCCAAGGAAGCACTCAGGACAACAGAAGGCGCCAATAGTGGTTCGATTGACCAACGGTCGGAGCAAACCGAACACCTACCATCTTATAAATTGCAGGGAAGACTCGGCGATCTAACGTATACGGAACAATTTCCACTGAAACGTTCCAAACAGTTTTTCACCTCTGAAAACACACAGCTTATTTTACACGCTTCCGTGAAAGGTGATAAATTTAACATCGCACAACAGAAATGTAAAACTTCGTTACAAGTTCACAATCCAACACCCAAACGTAATCTTTATTATCGCGGACTGAATGTAATGTAATCAGAGATACTACAGGATAATTTACGGGACTGAAAAGGGCGTCAAGGTATAAATATTCTCGCGAGGGAATTGCAAAGTGCTTCCTTCCGCCGTTGTTCTCGTTCAACGAACAGACTATTGCATCCGGCGTTACGCGATACACTGTTCACGATACATATCAAATTTCCGCATTTGCTTGTGCAACGATGGCCATTAGAATGGAGAGCCTTGTGTACCGTCGACCTGCGTGTGTTTGCACATATTTCACGCACTGTTCGTTCGTCCATCGAATCATTGGAAAAATGTGAAGGGTTGATGGGGCCCCGCATGCGGGAGATATGTTGTTAATTTTCGAGGATGCAAAATATATTATCGTTCGATTGATTATTCCGTTTCGAAATCGGGGACGCGTGATCTCGTTATTTGCGCTCGCGTATTCGTTCGGTCCGTTACGAATGAATAATAATCGTTACGCCAGACGGGCGCGTCGCGTCGTCGAGCTGAAATTTGACGATCGCGATTGATAGTTCAGCGAACGATTCATAAATTCGTTGGAAATAGAATACGGGTAATTGTTCGGTGAACGTAGTAAAGTTTCCGGATAAACCGATAATATTATCTATAAAGACGAATCGATTTCATTTCAGTGGGCTGAATGTTATTTGCTCATCGTTTTGGAATATATTGGCATCGCTGGTCTATACGTGAAACGGCAGTCTGACGAATGAAATTACCTCAAATGAATGAACGTCACGGCTATGAGTCACTTCCGCTTAAGAAATTCACCGAGATCGTCGGTGTCACCTTTAGAGGACCGGTTATTAATTAAGGTTCTAGGCACATTTGAGTGGTACCGTTGGGTGTAGTTTACTCTGTTGCAACCATTTCCGGCGAAAAGCGATCGCCATTCAAGAACCGGAAGCCAATATAGGGAAGCCTACGTACATATTCTCGAAACGTTGGTAACTCGATTAAACTTGCCGGTCCGACGTCGATTCACCCTCAATATTACTTACAATCAGTGCAAATTTAGCTGTTCCCCTCTTCCAGGTGAATTTACTAAACAACGTTCCGGTGACTCAAATATAAAATGTTTTCAGTAAAATCGACATCGCTCTTTGTCATTATCATAATTTCTTTACCTTTTGTAGAATGAATATTGATGGGTTATTAAATATGCAAAGTAGATTCTTCTTCCTTTGATAATAAGCGCGATTGATTAAATGCAGGATTCATAAACGCAGCATTATTGAATTTTCCTTTCTCCTCCAGAGAAAATATTCCATATCGACATAACAATATTAAGAAGTTCCCTGTTTCATGTTTCCTTCTGTGTGAATAACTCAAGAATTCGGTGAATTACAGACTTCACTCCCTTTCATCGGAGAACTTTCTTCTGAGGAAGAAGCAGTCTTGGCAGTCAAAGGATTCCAGTTAAGGCTCCACTGTAAACGTGCCACTTTCTTTCCTCGATTCAGTATTCCCCGGACAAAAAAATCCTTCATAGACCTCACAGTGCTACAAACATCTTAACCGCTCTCTCCCTCCCATCGCGAAATCTGGGTTAAAAATCCTCCCGGCTAAAACGCTCGTTCAAAGACCATCCAGAAACAAGAAAAAGACGAGAAACGAATTGTAAATTCGACAAGCCGCGTGAGCCGCCCGGCGAAGCCAGAGAATCCGAGAAGAGAAATTCAGTGGCTCTTTCATCCGGCTCGCGGCGAGCATCATCTCCGATCGAATTCCGTTATTCTCGCGCTTTCTTGCGTCGTTTCAAAGGCATACAAAATGTATAAGCAATTTCTATTGAATTTTCCATTAAACACGCTCTTCGAACATCCCTCCCGCGCCTGGTTGAATACATTCCCGACGAAATAAAGGACGAAAGAACGCGACGGCGAAGACGAAGAAAAAGGAGCATCAGCAAGATAGTCTTCGCGATAATAAAGCTCTTTACTTCTCGTATTATTAAAATTTCCTCGAAGCCAC